CCCCCGGCGGGGGGGAAGGGCGGAGGGCGTTGGGGCGGCGCAGCCGGGAGAAGAGACGGCTGCGGGGAGACCTCACTGCGGCCGCTCAGTGCTGAAACGGGGCTGAGAGGAGAGAGGGAGACTCTTGAGCAGGGCCTGCAGTGACAGGACACGGGGGCTGAGCGAGGCCGGGCTCAGGCTGGCCATAAGGAAGCAATGTTGGACCGGGAGGGCGGTGAGGCGCTGGCCCAGGTTGCCCAGAGAAGCTGTGGCTGCCCCATCCCTGCAAGTGTTCAAGGCCGGGCTGGACGGGGCTTTGAGCAACCTGATGGAGTGGGAGATGTCCCTGCCCGTGGCAGGGGGTTGGACTGGATCATCTTTGAAGGTCCCTTCCAGCCCAACCCACTCTGTGGGTCTGATTCTCTTGCCCTGAGATGTAGAAACAAGAAGACGACCCGAAGCTCCTATGCTCTGCTCCTTGCTGGGGCCCCACACGCACGGGTGCTCTGAGTGTCTGTGATGGGAACACGCATTTCTAACTTTGCCTCAGGAAAACGATGCCATATCAGCCGATATTGGTGGTGATGGCAGCCAGGAGCACGTGGGAGCCTGCAGGCTCTGGGCAGCATTATGTGGAGGTCGTTTGCGGTCTCCTGGCACCAGGAGGCTGCACGAAGGCAGAGGGAATAAACCCAACCACACACCCCTGACGAGCAGGAGACTCCAGTACTGTGCTGGTTTTGGCTGGAATAGAGTTAATTTTCTTCCTAGTAGCTGGTATAGTGCTGTGGTTTGGATTTAGGATGAGAATAACGTAGATAACACAGTGATGTTTGAGTTGTTGCTAAGTAGTGTTTATACTGGGCAAGGATTTTTCAGCTTCCCATGCTCTGCCCAGTGCACAAGAAGCTGGGAGGGGGCACAGCCAGGACTTTGTTACCTGCTAATGCTCATCAGCTCTGATTTCCCACCAGACCAACAGGGTTTACATCCACGGCTGGGCCAGGAATGTGCAGCCTCCTCATCAAAAGCAGGTAACGAAGCTTTCTGGGCCACATGATAAACAGAGCACCAAGACCAGGAAGGGTGGCAGGGTGCAGAAATGCGCCGGGGTCCCTTGCAAACACCGCCTGGGACCTCAAGCTCTGGGAGGCTGGCGGGCGCGCTCCAAGACGCGTAGCGGGCAGCTGGGACCGTTCCCCTGATCTGCCCCATGCCTGCACCTTCTCGCCCGGCAGTGAGAGTGTGGCACAGCTCCAGATTTATTTCTCCTCCTGGGAACACAGGCGAGGAAGCAAGGAGTGGGCTGAAGGGACGGCAGCTGAGGGGAGCAGCTCTCCCAAAGGCCTCCAAGGAGCAGGACTAGCTAGAGGGCTGGGACAGTGCCCCGAGCACAGGGGACACAGCCCTCATACAGGGTTGCGAAGGAGCCCGAGAGGTGACGTCTGAAGCCTGTGTCATCCCAGCTGCGTCGGGCAGGGCTGGATCCAGCGCAGCAGCTTCCCCAGCCCCTGCGACGGGTCACAGCAACCGGGACATTGCGGGAGAGAGCAGGAGGTGAGAGCTGCAGGCTGGAGCCCGCGGGGCTCCTGAAGGCAACAGGGAACTGTGACCGGCGGGCGGCACAAGAGAAGGAGCCATGTGCTGGGGTGTCTGAAAACCAGTTACGGTTGGAAGAGAAATAGAAAATAAAAAAAGAACAAGAGAAAAAACAGTGGCCAGGAGGGGAAAATGGAACTTCCTTAAAACTACATTTTTCTCTTACTGGTTTTCTTGAAATGAAATACTTTCTCTGCAAGTTAACTGCCCACAGCCAGGAAGGAATTCCTCTGTTATTTATGTGACTAATATCTCATAATCTAAAAAGCTAATAGGATTTTTATTTTAGTAACTGCTAGGAAGGGCTCAGTGACACTGTGAGCTCAGCCCAGCCGGCTCTCACAGCCGGGATCAGGGCACAGACCCTACAGGGGCCGGCACTGTTCCTGGCACGGCCAGGGCTGTCTGGCAGGAGCTTAGGACAGGCAGCCCAGGATGCACGGAAAGAGAGCAAAATGGGATGAGCTCGGTCCACTGTGTCCGGACACCGAGCTTTCAAGGTAACGGGACGGCTCCAGGGCGCCGCTGGTCCAGATCACGGCAAGCTGTGGTGCTGTGTGGGAACCGGAGCACCCAGACCTCCCTGAGACCACACGCTCAACAGGGCGAGCAAAGAGACACAGAGAACGGTGGCCCAGACGGTGCGGGGAGAGCCCCAGGGCAGCGTTGCCAAGTCTCCTGGCCTCAGGCTCTCCCAGCAGCTGTTTCCACCGCTGTAACTCTTGGGGACAAGCAAGTTGCCTTCAACAGACACGAGGAGCCTCAAATGAGCCTGCTCCCCTCCCGTGGTACCGGGGAAGGAGCCCGCTCCCCTCCCGTGGTACCGGGGTAGGAGCCCGCTCCCCTCCTGTGGTACCGGGGGCTGGAGGGAGGGACTCAGCCGAGTGGCTCAGCAGGGAGCCCAACCCACAGCTCAGCGCTTCTCCTCTGCAAACCGAGTACATCTTCAAATGCAGCTGCGTACTGCAAGGAGACCAAATAATGAACAGAGCAGACCTTAAGAACATCTTTAAAAAGCACAATAACTTATAAAAAGGAAGAAAAGGGACTTGCCCAACACAGCAGAGAGATGATCTATGTGTGACATTAGCACCAAGAGAGGGAGAGGAGCTGCAACCTGCTCCTCCGTGCTTGGTCTGCAGCCCCGAAGAGAAGCAGCCGGAGCCAGATGACCGGGACCCCTGCCCCACAGCAGAAGCCCTCCCTTCGCAGAGGAGTGGGGATCCTCTGGGGTTGGGGGCGCTGAGCCAGGAGCCAGGGTGGCCCTAGCACATGCAGGGCCCTCAGCAAGCTGGCATCCCTCCCACAGCACCTGAGCAGGGTGCTGAGAATGGTGTCCAGCAGCAGGGCCAGACAACGCAAGCTGTGAAATCAGGTCTGGGGTAGCTCCAAAGAGTCCCGTCAGGAGCAACAGGAGATGGGGCTGGAGACAGGAGTGGAGACAAAGCTACAATGTAGGGCCGGAGTCCTTCCAGGAGACATGGCCAGAAAAGGACTGGGGACACTGGCCCAGGTTGCCCAGAGAAGCTGTGGCTGCCCCATCCCTGCAAGTGTTCAAGGCCGGGTTGGACAGGGCTTTGAGCAACCTGATGGAGTGGGAGATGTCCCTGCCCGTGGCAGGGGGTTGGACTGGATCATCTTTGAAGGTCCCTTCCAACCCAACCCACTCTGTGAGTCCATGATCCTATGACACGACTACAACAAAGATCCGAAGTCTCAGGAGACAGGGCTGGAGACAAGCTATCTTGAATGTAGACCTGAGCCCACCCCGGGAACAAGGCCAGAGTTAGGGCTGAAGACAGGTACCTCTACGGGCTGGGTGGCCCAGGCCTGATCTTACAC